TGTTTTTCGCCAATGCCTTCATTGCAGCCTAGACTTCTTCCTTCAGTATGATTTGTTCTTGATCATATGCTACCTCCTGAAATGGTTGAATATCGACTGGTTCTCTTTGATACAGTGACTCTGTATTCCTTCCATTTTCTTTTGATGCCTCCTGCGCTGGTAAATATTCTGCCCATGTTGTTGTTGTTGTTATATGTCCTTGAGTCGGTTCCGACACATAGCGTCCCTATAGGACAGAATAGAAAGGCCCCATAGCGTTTCCAAGGAGCGGCTGGTGAATTTGAACTGCTGACCTTTTGGTTAGCAGCCAAGCTCTTAAGCACTGTGCCACCAGGACTCCATTTTTGCCCATAGATTTCTTCAATTTTGCAACTCGAAGCTTGAATTTTTTCTTCAGTTGTTTCAGCTTGAGAAATGCCGAGTGTGTTCTTTCCTTTTGGCTGTCTAACTCCAAGTCTTTACACGTTTCGTTATAATACTTTACTTTGTCTTTTTGAGCCACCCTTTGAAATGTTCTGCTCAGCTCTTTTATTTCATCATTTCTTCCATTCACTTTAGCTACTCTCTGTTCTAGAGCAAGTTTCAGAGTTTCCCCTGACATCCATTTTAGTCTTTTCTTTCTTTCCTGGCTTTTTATGACCTTTTGCTTTCATCATGTATGATCTTCTTGATGTCATCCCACATCTTGTCTGGTCATCAGTCATTAGTGTTCAGTGCGTCAAATCTATTCTTGAGACGGTCTCTAAATTCAGGTATGATATGCTCAAGGCTGTACTTTGGCTCTTCTGGACTTGTTCTCATTTCCTTCAGCTTCAGCTTTAACTTGCATATGAGCAATGGATGGTCTGTTCCACAGTCGGCCCCTGACCTTGTTCTGACTGATGATATTGAGCTATTCCATTGTCTCTTTCCACAGATGTAGTCTGTTTGATTCCTTTGTGTTCCATCTACTGAAGTCCACGTTTATAGTCGCCGTTTATGTTATTGTAAAAGGTATTTGCCATGAAAAAGTCGTTGGTCTTGCAAAATTCTATCATGCGATCTCCGGCGTCATTTCTATCACCAAGGCCATATTTTTCAACTACCAATCCTTCTTCTTTGTTTCCAGTTTTTGCATTCCAATCACCAGTAATTATCAATGCATCTCGATTGCACATTTGATCAATTTCAGACTGCAGAAGTTGGTAAAAATCTTCTATTTCTTCATCTTTAGCAATAGCGGTTGGTGTGTAAATTTGAATAATAGTTGTATTAACTGGTCTTCCTTGTAGGCATCTGGATATTATTTTGTCACTGACAGTGTTGTACTTCAGGATAGATTTTGAAATGTTCTTTGTGATGATGAATGTGACACCGTTCCTCTTCAATTTGTCATTCCCAGTGTAGTAGGCCATATGATTGTCTGATTCATAATGGCCAATACCAGTTCATTTCAGCTTACTAATGCCTAGGATATTGATATTTATGCCTTCCATTTCATTTTTGATGACTTCTGATTTTCTAAGATTCATACTTTGCACATTACATGTTCTGATTATTAATGGATGTTTGCAGCTGTTTCTTCTCATTTTAAATCATGCTACCTCAGCAAATGAAGGTCCTGAAAGCTTTACTCTGTCCACATCATTAAGGTTGACTCTACTTTGAGGAGGCGGCTCTTCCCCAGTCGTATCTTGACTGCCTTCCAACTTGAGGGGCTCATCTTCTGACACTATATTAGACAGTGTTCCGCTGCTATCCATAAGGCTTCCATTGGTTGGTTTTTTAAGAAATAGGTCACCAGGTCTTTCTTCCTAGTCTGTCTTAGTCTGGAAGCTCCACTGAAACCTGTACACCCTGGGTGACCCTACTGCTGTTTGAAATACTGGTTGCAAAGCTTTCAGCATCACAACAACATGGAAGCCAACACAGTTTGACAAACTGACAGACGAGTGGTGGATATAAAGTATAGTACATAAAGCAAAACCAAACTAAACCTATTGCTGTCAAGTTGATTCTGACTCATAGCAACCCTATAGGACAGAGTAGAACTGCCTCATAGGGTTTTCAAGGAGCAGCTGGTGGATTCGAACTGCTGACTTTTTGGTTAGCAGCCCAACACTTAACCACTGCTCCACCAGGGCTCTGTTTATTTTATAACAAGTATATAATACGTTGTATATGTTTGTTATACATACAAATCATAAATACGTTATATCTAAAAAATATTTTTTTACAGGAAATGGTTTTTTTGGCGTGACAGTTTAATTCTGAATAGTTTAAAAAAGAAAAAGCTTTTTGTAATGATTTGTAGAGCTGTTGGACTGAAAAGAACAGAAGTCATCTGTTTGTCAGTGATATGCGTCCACAATGTCTTTTCAAAATTCAAGGAGCTTCCAAATCCATAATTTCTTTCCTAATTTTGGCATTAACTTATTATTTTTTGTAAATTTTTTATTTTGATGAAAATATAGTCAGCCAAGAATATATCATTTCAACAATTTCTATATGTACAATTCAGTAACGTTGGTTACGTTCTTCAAGTGGTGCTACCAGTCATCACGTTGTGCTACCTTTTCCAAATTATTTCACTACCATTATTTTAAACTCACCAAACTTCCCATCCATCCTTTTGAGTTGGCTCAAACTTATTTGATGGCAAAAATGACTGAAAATAATAGACATTTGTTTTAATATTTGTTTTTTAATATTATTTATTTTGTTGTTGTTGAGAATATACACAGCAAAATGTACTATTTATAATTCACCAGTTTCCACATGTTCAATTCGGTGACATTGATTACGTTCTTCAAGTAGTGCGAGCATTCTTACCTTCCTTTTCTGAGTTGTTCCTCCCCCATTAACATAAACTCACTTTATCTTGAGCCACCTATCCAGTTTTTCGAGTTGCTATGATCCCGTATAGATAGTTCTTAAAAGAGCCTAATGCTCAAGGCTGACATTTTTTACTAGTTAAGCTAAACTATTGTTTGATTTTAAGAAGACATCAGGGAATATTTTCAGTTTAAGGTTTAAAGATTATCTCAGGATAATAGTTTGGGGGTTTATCAAGCCTCCATAGCTCCAGAAAAGTCTAGATTCCATGAGAGTTTGAAGTTCTGTTCTGTATTTTCTCCCTTTTGATCAAAGATTCTTCTATAGAATCTTTGACCAAAATGTTCAATAGTGATAGCCAAGCACCATCCAGTTCTGGTCTCATGGCAAACGAGGCAGTTCATGGAGGCAATTAGACCCATGCCCTGGTTGTGCAGTGGTTAAGTGTTCGGCTGCTAACCTAAAGATTGGCAGTTTGAACCCACCAACTACTCTGTGGGAAAAAGTTGTGGCAGTCTGCTTCCATAAAGATTACAGCCTTGGAAACCCTCTAGGGCAGTTCTTTTTTGGCATATAGGGTAACTATAAGTTGGAATTGACTCAGTGGCAATGTTTTTTTTTTTTTCTGTTATAAATAGAAATAATGTGTTTGATTATTAGAGTAGTGCTATAGACCTCACTGGGGGTGTTAGGGTAATGTATGGTGCATACACCATGCTACCTTTCTCAAAGCTGAAAAATTCCAAATTCTGAAATACATCTGCTGTAAAAATTTTAGATAAGGGAGTATGGACCTGCGTGATACTTCTCTTGTGTCCTGTGCCAGATTGTTTAGGATGAGAGTGTTCTTTTTAGAATAGTCTTGAGTAAGCTATGAATGCCTGCATGATAATCATGAGATTGAGAATTATGATTTTATTGGTCCAGGATACTAATTACAGGCAATTTTCTCTGCCTTTAATGCCCAGTAAACTATTTTCCTCTTATAGTTAATTATAGGCTAGTTTGAGTTAATAGAAACTAAACGATGTGGAAATGCTTTTTTCACCTTTTTATTACTACCTTTTCTGAAGTATAGGTACAAAAATTTTTATCCTTCAGATTTTATTATTGGCATTTGGCGAAGACTTGACTATGACTGTTTTCTGTTCCTGCTCACCCTCTTTTTCCCCTCCCTGCTCTTCAACCCCACCCACACACACACCCTGATATTTTAGATTTTTATTTATTTGACTGGTAATAAGGAAGATCAGAAGGTTGAGTAAAGTTGGCGTAAAGGAACTGGGTTGCCCTAGGCAGAAATAGAAGAAATTTGATAAAAAGCTTTTAGCCCTGCATGAGCTCTTCAGTTTTCTTAGCCCATCTTTTTAGTAACTTCTGTGGGCTGCTCATTTCCAAGATGGATTCATTTTTGCAATTCATCAATTCATTCCATTCTTGGGTCTACAGACATTACTACCAAAAATTTTTGGAAGTTTAGGTAACTCTTCATTTGATGATATGGACAGTATCCTAATAATCTAGAAAATTAATAACTTATCTTGAAACTTCCATTTCCTATGGCATTGCTGTTGTCTCATTTCACTTGTATACTTGGTGTTTCTAAAATTCCTGTGGTATGTTAGGGATGTGGTGAAAGTTGATTGTCATAAATATCTATGCTCATTTTTGCTTGGTGAAGAGTGGAATAAATAAGTTTTTTGGGCCAGATTTTTTCTTGTTCCGGATATGAATCTTTTCAATATTTGTAAATCCAGATAGTTTATAAAAGGATGATGTAAGGGAAGGAGAAATTAGTCTATATTGTATTATCATTAAGTTAAAAATAAGTGCCCAATTTAGAAAATAAGCATATTTACTTTTAGGAAAAAATTACCTCTATGGTACCAAATATAATTTGAGCAATATGACACAAAATGCTGCTCCTCTTTTTAAAGCTTATTTTAATTTAGAATTATACATATATTCATCTTCATTACGGCTATATTGAACTAAAACCATTACACCAACTTCATTGATTTATTATTTAATCTGGTTGGGAATGTCTACCATTATTTGACCTAAATTTGTTCATATTATTTTGCAAGTTATTCACAAATTTTGGTGGTTTCATTTGTGTCAGTGTGTTGTGTGTGTGTGTGTATGTATATACATATGTGTGGTTTTTTTTCTCATATTTTCAACAGATTCTGAAGGGAGTGGTAATGGAAGTGAAGATCCATCAAAGGACAGTGGAGAAGGCTCCTGTAGTGATTCTGAAGAAAATATTTTAGAAGAAGAACTGAATGAAGATATTAAAGTAAAAGAAGAACAAATTAAAAATTCTGCAGAGGAAGAAATACTGTCATCAGAAAAACAGTTAATTAAAATTGAAAAAAAGGAGGAAGAAGAGAATGGAGAAAGACCTAGAAAGAAAAAGGAGAAGGAGAAGGATAAAGAAAAGGGAAAAGAGAAGGAGAAAGAAAAAGAGAAAGAGAGAGAAAAGGAAAAAGAAAAAGCAACAGTGTCCGATAATGTGGCAGCGTCTACTACTGCCACGACCCCTGCCATGAGTCCTCATGCCGTTAATGCATCCCCTTCTGTCCCCAGTACGACAAACACTACAGAGGAGCAAGTTAGTGAGCCAAAAAAGTGGAACCTTCGTCGAAACCGACCACTGTTGGATTTTGTATCCATGGAAGAGCTTAATGACATGGATGACTATGACAGTGAGGATGACAATGATTGGCGACCTACTGTAGTAAAGAGAAAGGGAAGATCTGCCTCACAGAAAGAGGGAAGTGATGGAGACAATGAGGATGATGAAGATGAGGGAAGTGGGAGTGATGAGGATGAGAATGATGAAGGCAATGACGAAGATCATAGCAGCCCTGCCAGTGAAGGGGTTTGCAAGAAGAAGAAGAGTAAAGTTCTTAGCAGAAACAGTGCTGATGATGAAGAACTGACCAATGATAGCCTGACACTATCTCAAAGCAAGAGTAATGAGGTAGATCAACCCAATTTCTATGATATCTGTCTGTCTGGGGAAAAGGGAATTCTTCTCTAAATCACTCTAATAGTTATGTGGCTTCCTTGAAATCCTATTTTTAGGCAGCTGTGGGAATGAATGAGAGCCCTAACTGTAACATTTATTCATTTGGCCAGCAAGCCTTTTTTAAGCATCTACTATTTGTCACCGTTCTCAAGGAGCTCACAATCACCGTCCTCAAGGAGCTCACAGTCTATATATTTAGGGAAATTAGAGAAATGCTTTTATATCCATACACTTGGAAAATGATAGAATTTTCCATTCTCCTTTTCATCCTCTCATCCCATTGTTCATAGGACTGCTGAATGGTGCTGAGTGGATTATGGAAACAAAAGACACCTTTCTTTCAACTTAATTATGCCCTATCCACATAAAAATTCAGAGTTTGAATGTAATTTAGAGTAGAGTAACAATTTGGCTAATGCTTGTCTCAAACTTTTAGAAACTTAATTGAAATTTGTTTCCCAGTTGTGGCACCAATCATCTGAATAGTCACAAAATCTTTGCTTTATATATGTGGAAGTAAATATGAACTATATATTTACATATATTTAGTAAATAAGTTTCTACAGAGAAATAGAAAAGCAGACATTTCTATTGATTATCGTAAAACTACAGTAATGGCTCAGTTCTTCCACTTGAAATACTACTACTGAAAGTTAGGTTTATCCATTGGGCCCAGAGATGCTACATTCAAGACTCTTCAGTCAAACACATTTGTGTCTCTTTGTCTGTGTGTTTATGTATATGTTTTTCTTCAAACAAAAGACTGAGTTGTCATTTTACATGTAGATGTACCTGTTGCATCACATGTAGAGCTGTAATAAAGTCTGACATTTCTGTTAATGTGTTTATAGTCACCAAATACTTGTTCTTTGTTTTTTTCATTTCATTGAAGTAGGTTAAACTGGTAGAAAGATTTTCTCTGCTTTATTTGTTCCTTCACGTTTCTTTTGCTTAAAAGTTTTACAAAGGAGTGGTTATCCATTGTAATTAAGTTTCATTAAAAAAATTGGAGATTTTCTTACCAAAATAATGTATGGCAGGCTACGAGGGGCTGAATGTCAGTAGAGATGAAACAGCAGTATACATTTTAGATTATAAAATCATCAGCTAACTTCTAGTTTTCCCACTTTCATATGAAAATGTTGCCTACCTCCAATGTCATCCTAATTCTTATTCCAAATCTTCATTTGGAATATAATATAGTATTTATAATGATGTAACACAGGCAGGTCTTTATTATCGATGTCAATTTAGGGAAACAGGTATGGATAATCCAATTGTTCATACTTGATTTAGGAATGTATCCAATTAGTCTTATAGCATTTAGCACTCATTCTGTATCTACTAAATAAAATTACCTTTGGCAGCATCCACTTCCTTACTTCGTTTTTATTAGGCTGATATTCACAAAAATAGGCTGGCTAACGATAGAGGCAGCATGACTTAAACTTAAGGTGTAGGGAATACTGCGTATTGTTAGAAATTTGCCTTGTAAAATATATAAATTATCCATTTGGTAATAATCTTTATAACATATTGCTTAAGAGGTTGTAGACTACCTTTATGATGGATTTAAAGACCATGGGCTGTTTAGTTTTTTACCACTAGAAGAGAGTTTATTAAATAATGGCAGCTTATATATTTAGGTTAATAGTCCCAAATACGTTCCAGGAATGAGATTGCAAAGCATTTCTTGGAAAAGTGCCCTGATAAAGTTGTCAGGAAGTTTCTCTTTATATTAGCTAAATTAAATTCCTCTTGTGCTAGTTTATGTTAATTTTTGTTTTGCTCTGTCCTGTACAGAAATGTAGAAGAGCTTACAGGAAACCAGTTTCCCTCAGAATATTATTCAACCTAAAAGCTTGGTAACTTTTTCCCCAAGACTCTATTATTCAAACTCTGATAATTTTTTGATAATTTTAGTTCTACTTAAATTATATCACTTAAAGCCAGATATTAGATTATAATAAAGTAATACATTGAAATTATTACTTCATCTTATATCCCTAAATTTTCTGTTCCTGAGATCTGGATTTAAAAAGATAACTAAAGTTAATTCTTGTTGCTTTGTGGCCAATGATTGTGTCTTAATCTTCTAGGTTATTTTAGGTACTGATACCTTGCGAAGTATCTATTAGATAGCTAGTAAGTATATATTTGAAGTTTTACTTTTCTCTGCTTTTACACTAAGTTTTCAAATACCACTTTGTAGGAGAGATAGCAGAAAATGTGGTTCTAGCAATACATAATAGAATTATATTTTGTTCAGTTTATAAGCAGGAAAACGTTTTTCATGGCACCTATGAAGCATATTTGCAGGGACATAGTTTTGGGCATCATTTTTAGGTTAATGATGCCCAGAACCTTTCATAGTTATGTAGATTTTTAGGAGAATTTGCTTTTTTTTTTTTTTTTTAAGAGGGAGTACTTTTGTAACTATTGCTTTTAATGACCTCACCATATCCTGAAATACTCTAGAGCAGTGGTTCTCAAACTTTTTGATCTCAAGACTTAAAAAAATAGTGAGGACCCCAATTATTGTTTTATGTGGCTTATATCTATTGATATTTACCATTTCAGAAGTCAAAACTCAGAAATTTCAGAAACAAGACTATAGAAGCATACTAGTTGTCAGATCAATGATGCCATCACACTTCATGTAGCTTCTGGAAAACTCCACTGTACACCCATGAGAAGGAGAGTGAAAAAAGCAAATACCATTTTTTATGGTAGTATTATTATGAAAATAGCCTTGATCTTGTGAGTTTCCTGGACTACACCTTGAGAACTGCTGCTCTGGAATTGGGTATTTGATAACCTCTGTTTTCTCCAAATGGGCACATGCCTTTCTTAATGGCTTTCTGTCATTTTTTAATTTCAGTTCAGTCTGAATAATCCTGTTGGAATATGGTTATATGTCTTCTTTAGCCTTTTGTCTGGAAGCTTTTGCTAAAGTTATCTTGCCTTTTAGTCTTCTAAGATGAATTTTTTGGGGTGGATGTGTAGCTTTTTCAGAGAATGGTTCCCATTTTCGAAACTTTGAAACTACAGCTTTTGGTGAGAATTCAGATATGACAGAAAATCAACTATATAGGAATTGTCAGATGGCAATTTTTTGTTTTTGTCTTTTTGTAAGAGGAAAAAAGCTGCTATTTCTCACAGAGACAGTTTGGGATCTTCAGGATTACTGTTCTATGCGTGTATCCTTATATTCTTTGCTTAGTAGAAATTTTTTTTTTTAACAAAAAACTGTTTTATGTTAAATGGATTAAATGTCTTGCCATGTTAAGAAAAGGCCATCTCCACTCAATTTTTGCGTATTAAAATATAGCAATTTTGTCAAAATCACCTCTGTTTGGGGCCTCTGGCTTATTAATCAATTGTTTTTTATACATTTTAAAATAAAATAAATTGCTCTAAGTCCTGCATGTCAGTTATGTAACATTGTAGAAAAATCACTTGAGATTCTTGAGAATTCAGTCTTCTTTAAAAACTTAGAGAAAAAAATTATTGAATGAACTTCTTGCTGTACTAATTTTTTCTCATTTTCAGAGTAATTAGATTCTTTTAATTCTGATTTTGCATGACATGTTCTGGAATTTCCTCCTGTGAAACACACACTTAGAATTTAGTCTGTTGTATATATCATTTATAATCCTTTATATAGACTATATATATACATAAATACTAAATATACTATAGGACCATGAAGAACATTGGGCAATATTATCATTCTGCTATTTTGTTGGTAAATTTTAAATCCCAAGGGAAAAATAAAATAATTTAATCTAAGTAGTCTTGATTTATTACTATAGTGCCATATCTACTCTTCTTATATTATAATTACGTTAGATTCTGTATAATTACTCTATAAAAATAAAGTTATTTTGTAGGTGGGTGCTCTTTTGCCATTCAGAACCCACTTTCCTCATTTCTACTTTTATGTTAAAACTATATTTTTAAAAGTTTTACTTTAGCTTGAGTATTTTCTCCAGAAACTTGAAAGATGATATAAATGTTCAGAAATAGGCTAGCAAAATATTATTATAAGTTAGCTTTCATTTTTGATCACAGGTGTGCTTAAACCTATGTTTGATCTATTAAAGACAACTCACATTATAATTTTTAAAGAAGATGTGTTATTTAGATAGCCTGTTGAAACATTGTCTGGAAATGTTTTCTCCCTGACGTTGATTTGCCCACTGCCATCAAGTCGATTCCGACTCATAGTGACCCCACAGGGTTTCCAAGGCTGTAAATCTCTACACAAGTAGACTGACACATCTTTCTCCTGCGGAGCCGCTGGTGGTTTCAAACTGCTGACCTTTTGGTTAGCAGTCGATTGCTTTAACCACTGTGCAACCAGGGCTCCTTTGACATTGATTAGGGTAATATTTTTAGGGCTTTAGTTTACTCCGTTTTTCTCTTTGCTTTACATTTCTGGTAAAAGTCTCAAATGATGAGATCATAGGACCAGAAATACTAGTTAATTTTGTTTTGTCCACCTCTAAGTAGTAATGTTTTAGAGAGAAAATGGTATAGAGCTATGATTTAGAGATTAACTCTTTATCTGAGAAAACAATATTGAAAAAAATAGGAAAATAGAGGAATTAGAGCTATCCATTGATTCTTAATTTTTCTGACTTGTAGAAATTTACTGGTTTCCCATGTGGGTAAACCTTTTTCAAAGGCTAGTTAGTTGTAATTTCACCAGAGAAATGTTGGCAGTGCCCATCAACCTGAGCAGTTCATCAGTCAGGAAACTGGTTGTTTGCTAGGCCTTTTTCTGTACTGATTTCTTTTTAACCTACATGTGGTTTCTAAGAAAAAAGTCTTTTCTGGACTTACTATGAGAAAACTATTTAAAGGAGCAGTGCTCTTTGAGGCTAGTAACTTTTCTTTTGGGGTTCTAAGTAAGATTCCCCAGTGTAATATTATGGTCTGCTCGTATTTCTCTTCTTGAGCCACCTGCAAGAAGTGCAGAGGAAGGAGAAAACGAATGAGCATTTATTATCTAGTATGTGCCAGGAACATTCTTTCCATACATTATCCTGTTAATTCTCACAATAACTTCATGAGGTAGGTATTCTTTTTATCATCCCCATTTTACAGATGAGAATGCTGCAGCTTCTGGTTCAACAGCAATTAAATGAGAGTTGGGACTAAAACCCAAGAATGCTTGATTTAAGTCAAATGCTGTTACATTTGAAGGATAGCTAATGGTATGAAAATCGTGCCATAATTCTGTCTTGCTTACAGTACTAAAAAAGTTGTATAAAACACATGAGTTTTCCTTTTAGGAAGTTCTCACCATTATTTGCTAGGTATGTGCAAAGCCCCTAAACTATTTTGTTTGGTTTTAAATCAAAGAGCAAAATATAAATCTTTAAAGTACTAGAATTCCCAAGAGAAATGACATTGTCTCCTTGTTGACTTTGCATTCTTTTCTCATTTGTTTTACAAATCAGCTGCAATTTTAATTGTATTTTACAGGAAATATATTGAAAGAATTTTATTATTTCTGGCATTCAAGTGTCATTTAAATGTCATTTATAAATTGCTGTCAAATGATGACTCAGAATGTTACCTTTGGATATTGGTCAAGTCTTAAAAATATTAACTTGAAACAAAATATTTACTGAATATATGGTATGGAATTAATTTTTCAACTTTGTTTCTGAATATGGTTAGATTCTTAAAATATATAGACCCAAGTACTATCTCTTATTATATGTAGTGTTAAGCCCAATTTATTAAATATGGCAAGAATCATTTTCTTGTTAATTTGTCGTTTAATGTTTATAATGCAGAAAGTTTAAAAGAAGCGAACTTCTCTTTCTTGAGACTTTTTTTATGTTTGTCTATTAATACATCTTTCTTTCTCTTTTTATATTATAATTGACTAGATGTTTTTATACCATTTATAATAGACATTTCTTGACATGAATCTAGCAATTCTGCCAAGTAAAGTCCTCTAACTCTTCTAGAAACCAGTCAACCTGGATCCCTTTTTTTTTAGATTGTTTTCTCTACATTTATACATAGATATTCTTATGTAGGGTTTCATGAATCTATCGTTCAGTAATTTGATGACCATGGAATTTCTGAATTCCCAAGCCTTTAAGTAACATAGAGCCTATACTATGCTGTCACATACACACTGGCTTATATGTTATCTTGGAATTGATTTCTTCCTGTTTTATATGTGTGTGTCTTGTCTCCCCTAGACAGGTTTATAAGCTCCCAAAGGATAGGGACCATGTCTTCTACTTCTTAAACACATAAATAGACTTAATAATTACTTGTTGGGTTAATTTTTCCCTTCTCCTACTTTAAGGAGTCAGACCATGATCCAGAATGGCAAAGCAGTGAAGAGTTGTTGGTTGCATGCCTGCTTTTTCATTTACTAGAGGAGAAAGAAGATGGGGCTTGTGGAGAAGTAATAAATTTGGGAGAGGGTGCTTTGAGGGTCCTTGGAAAGAGGTATACTTCTTAAATGTAGTACATTTTGAAGTTATTAAAAGAATGGAGAATGTGGTATAATTTTAGAAATTCTTCAAATAATGTTTTAAATAAAGTAAGAATTTATTAAAATTACTTCCTAATTTAAATGTGTAGTTTTCTGATATACTTTAATGTTTTAATGTTAGGACTCGCTGATTCTTGAGAAGAGTCAAAACTGGAGTTCTCAAAAAATGGACCATATTCTGATTTGCTGTGTTTGCCTTGGAGATAATAGCGAGGATGCTGATGAAATAATTCAGTGTGACAATTGCGGCATTACAGTCCATGAAGGTAATTTTGCTTTATCTCATTTTAGAAATGACTAACACTACTTTTAAATAAATAAAGTATACTCTTTTACAGTTGTACTCTTCTGACATTTTTCTACACTATTTTGGTATTTCAATTGAAATAGTACATACAGAACCTTCAAAGTATGATGGATGTTATTTTTCAGATGATCGTAATTTAAACATTCTAAAACATAATTAAAATGTGAATATTATATGGAAATCACAGTATTTCTTTATAGGCCAGTGTTATGATAACTTCCTTCATGGTATTATTTACTTCTAGTTTCTAAATGAAATTCAGAAGTAGGAAAAAGTCTCGTGTGTTACTCTAGTAGAATGTATTAGTATAAAACTTACATTCTAAGTCTATTGTTAGGATTTCTTCTTTCTGAGTTATAATTTTTAATTTTGATTTTGCAAGGGGAATTTGTAGAGCCCATATTTTAAAATCTGAAATCAGAGCCACTCTGATGTATTCAAATTATTCTTACCGATTATCATTTTTGAACCGTTTTTTGTTATATGGTTTTTTTTTTTGCTTTTTACTTAAATTTATTTTGACATAATTTCCAACTTACACTGTAACCAATGGAATTTATTTCAGAAATTCAAGGATGAGTCTAGATTTGGAAATCTGTTAACCACATTTATTGTTTCAGCAATTATCTGATAATATTTAAGCAACTCATAAAATAAGAATAGAGGGAAACTACTTAAACATGATAAAGATTGTTTATATGAAATTAGTCAAAGATCTTAATAATGAAATGCTAGAAACTTTTTCATTAAAATGAGGACCAAGGCAAGGATGATGGTTATTTCCTTTATTGCACATGATTTTGGAGAATCTAGCAAATAAAACGGATAAAAATATAGAGTAAGTGTTGTAAGTATTAGAGAGGAATGAGAAAGTTATCTTTTCGGTTATTATATGATTTTATAACTAAAAACATCTAAGTCTGAAGTGAAAAACTAAGGAATTTGGTAATATGGATGGATCATTGGTTGATACATAAAAATGACATTGGAAAAAGTATTCTAATCACAATATTGACAAAAACTCTGTACCAATTCTAAATTTAGTGAGAAATGGTCAAGACTTATTTGAATCAAACTGTGAAATCTTATTGAAGGATATATATATATAACACGATCTGGACAAACGAGAGATATAAAAAAAAACTTAATATCATGAAATACATTTTTAAATGTAGAAAAGTATAGTGAGTTTATGCTGATATTTTCAAAAAAAAACTTGACTATGAGGTTTAATTCAATTTTTTGATTTTATATTGATGTTTTGTTTCTTTTATGCTGAAAATCTTAGCATAATTACTTTTTTGCTTTATCCATATATATTTTATATGGCTATATGAAATAATATATAACTATATAATATGTAATATGGTTCAGAATTATAATACCAGTATTACTAACCATACGGCTACTGAAAAGGTTCATAAAAAAAAAAAAATTTTTTTTTTGCTCTTTTTTCCATTAAGGTATATCTCGTTTGGGATGGAAGGTCAAATTAATTGTGTTTTCTGTTTTACACCAGGACATTTTTTTTTTCCTAATGGGAGAAAACTGTATGCATGTATAAACTGGGAGGTGTATAGTAATTTTTTTTTTTTTTGATCATGGAGTAACCCATTTTGTAAGTATGGAGACCTGTGGGTAAGAAGATGGTAAAGGAACATTTAAGTAAATTTGAGTGTCCAGAGTTCAAACTAATTTCTACTTGTACTTCCTTTTGGAATACAGCCATAAAGAACTAGAGTAAACCTAAAAAGAGACTACTGGTTAAGTACATTCATTTAACAGCTGAATTTTTATGTATTAGAGGCTTAATCCTTTGTTTTTAAGGCTTCTGATGCTGATTACCATCAGATATTTCATTTAAACAATATTTACTATACAATTTGGACCCTTTAAAGGAGACTTAAAAACTGAATTAGGATAACCAAGCATTTGAAATGTTTTTTAGATTTTAAAGACATACAGGGGCTTAGTTTGTTCAGAAATTTTGGTGCTTTATTGGCCTGTGGTAAAAACAAGGCCATGAAGACCTCAGTGCAGTATTTCTACTGCCTTCCCCTTACCTGCCTTCCTGGCATTATAACTCTCTTCCCAAATCATTCTGGGAGTCTGCTGGACTTGTGGGACCTGTGGGACCTGTGCTCCTTCAACCAATCCTCTTCCTTTCATGTAGGCTCACTGTGGGAATGTCTCCTATTATTGCTGTTTGTTCATTTATTCATTTATGTTTATTGTGTACCTTCTGTATGCCAGGCGTCTGTTATGGATTGAATTGTGTCCCCCCAAAATGTGCGTCAACTTAGCTAGGCCATGATTCCCAGTAATGTGTGATTGTCCACCATTTTGTCATCTGATGTGATTTTCTTATGTGTTGTATATCCTACCTCTATGATGTTAATGAGGCAGGATTAGAGGCAGTTATGTTAATGAGGCAGGACTCAATCTACAAGATTAGGTTGTATCTTGAGTCAGTCTCTTCAGAGATATGAAAGAGAGACTCGAGCAGGCAGACAGACGGGCTTCATACCACAAAGAAAGAAGAGCCATGAGTGAGCACATCTTTTGAACCTGGAGTCCCTATGCTGAGAAGCAACTAGACCAGTGGAAGATTGATGACAAGGACCTTCCCCCCATTGCTGACAGAGAGAGAAAGCCTTCCCCTGGAGCTGGCATCCTGAATTCAGACTTCTAGCCTCCTAAACTGTGAGAGAATAAACTTCTCTTTGTTAAAGCCATCCACTTGTGGTATTTCTGTTATAGCAGCACTAGATAACTAAGACAGCCTCCCATAGGTTTTGTACACATAAAAGTAGAATATACAAATTGCTGACTTCATGGAGCTTAAGATCTAGTAAGAGAGACAGACAGTAAATAAAAAACTGATAAATATGTGTCAGATGGTGGCCTGGACTATGGAGAACAATAAAGCAGGATAAGGAGTATAGGGAGTGCTGTGGGTGGGGGCAGGTGGGTGAGAAGGCAGAGATTTATATTTATACACAGTAGAAGGAATATCCTCTCTGATAAGGTGATATCTGAGTAGTGACGTGAGGAAAGCTAGAGAATAAGCCATTTGAATATTTGGGGAAAGCACTCCAGGCAGAGGCAGTAGCACATGTAAAGACGCTGAGGTAGGAGCATGCTTGGAGTGTTTGTATAATGGCAGAGAGATTAATATGGCTAGAGCTGAGTGAATGAGCTGCTTAGTAGTGGGGGTAGGGGTTAGGGCAGACCATGGCACTGATTTCAGATTTTACTGTGATGGATATGAGAATACATACATGAGTTTTGAGCAGAGGATTAATATGATTTATATTTTGGAAGAATTGCTCGGACTGCTGAGTGAAGAGTAAGTAGACTGAAATGGGTCTAAAGAGAGAATCAGTGAGATCAATTTGGAGACTATTGCAATAATCAAAGAGAGGAGCAGGCTTTGAGGTAGGTATTAGAAGTTTGGTTTTAAACTGTCTGGAGTTTAGGTAAGATTTTGGGAGATGTAAATTTGGGACTTATCAGCCTGCAGATGCTATTTAAATGTAAGACTGGATATGATATCTAGGGAGTGAGTGTAGATAGAAAGTGGTCCCAGCACTCCAGAGGAAATGAAGAACACATGGCCGGTGAGATAGGCTGGGATTCATGAGTGGTGATCCACAGGCTAAGTGAGGAAATGTTTCAAAAAGAGAAGTGGCAGTCAGCAGTCTCTCAAAGTAAAGTGTCAATCCTTCATTTACTTATTCTAATGGGAGCTTCTGTGACTATTTAATTATTTTAATTTTTAAAGTCCTTCTTGCTATGTAATTGAACTATTGCTGTATCTGGAGCCCTGGTGGCATAGTGGTTAAAGAGCTCGGCTGCTAACCAAAAGGTTGACATTTCAATTCTACCAGCTGCTCCTTGGAAACCCTGTGGGGCAGTTCTGCTCTGTCCTGTAGGGCTGCTATGAGTCAGAACTGACTCCATGGCACCTAACAACAAAAATAAGATTGCTGTCTCTAAAGTAAACAGGTTTAAATCATGTTCACTAACCTTATTTAACACAAAAACGTCACTCTTAACTTACTTCAGTAGTTTTCTAAAGCTTTGCTGCTCGAAGTATAGTCCACGAATCAACATCATTAAGTATTAGCACCTGTATCACCTAGGCGCTTGTTAGAAATGCAGACTCTTAGGCTAAGTTCTAGACCTTCTGAATCAGAATCTTCATTTTAACAAGGTGTTCAGGTGTTCCACGTGTACCTTAAACTGTCAGCTCCATTAACAATATAAGGAAGTGGCTCTGCAGTGCTTACCGCGATACCTAAACTTTCAGATTATTAAGACTACCTACCGTAGGCCACATTTAGCACCAGTTTATTTAGAACGATAGGGGAGAAACACAGCTTGCCAGCAGAGCAGCATCATGCATTCCTCTTGTGTGCATCTCTAGCAGTCCATGCAGCAGCGCACGTAGTCATCTGGGAGCTATCTTTTTGGACACTCCTCTGCCTCCTCCCAGCCCCTACAAGTTACAGCTCAGGTGCAAGGAAATAAGTTCCACCTAAGATGGCTATGGTGGTCACCTTGACTTGGCAGCTGTAACCTGCACAGGAGTCAACATGTCTTGTAATAGTGCCATAGACATAGGTTCCAAGGACATGCCCCTGTTACTAGAGTCACTGCTCTCAGAGAAACCCAAGTAAGGCAAGTATCAGGCGTTTATAGTTCAGATGCAGTTTACCAATAAAAAACCAAACCCGTTGCTGTCCAGTCAATTCCGACTCATAGTGATGGTATAGGACAGAACAGAACTGCCCCATAGGGTTTCCAGGGAGTGGCTGGTGGATTCTAACTGCCAACTTTTTGGTTAGCAGCCATAGCTCTTAACCACTGTGCCACCAGGGCTCCGTCCAGTTTGCCAATAAGGGGTCTTTTTATTTTTTTACTATAAGCAATATTTTCAAGCAATATAGTTGATAT